ATGATTAAAACTTTGTTTGTATGCCTAGTAAAAATCTTTATACTACACCCTGATTAAGCCAAATCCCCGCTTTCTCTTCACTTTCACACACTCACTTCCTACCGAATTCAAGTTGCATCCCAACATCTCTCACATCGACCCTGTGTAGTTATGGCCAAAATATTTAGGGATTCCCAAGTTGTGCACGGTCCCTCTCACCTTCCCAATTACGACTGTATCGAAAGATTATAAATGATACTGTGCTGAAGGCTCTCATTCTTCCTCTCCACCCCTACCCAACAGTTTATCTACCTCCTTTTCCTTCTCATATGAATGACTGTGTCAATCATTAGATATGCCAGGTAACTGCATTTGACTCACGCTCTCTAGGTTAATGACTCTTTAATAGTAACGGTATCCGACCTGTAGATCACCGTGCCAAACGTAAAGAGAATAACCCCTAGCAAAAAATATTTTTTTCGCTGATACTAACGAGTGGACTCCTTATTGCTTCATAAGTAGAGGTGAATGGTCTCTCGCGTGCATCACCAACTAAGGAGTATGGTTCTTTTTTCGTGTGGTCTTCACTTTTTTAGCATACGTGGATCATTGTCTTAAGCAGTTGCCTTATGCAGCTATCTATGACAATCTTCATAGATACAACGGAACTGCATGTTAATACCAATCTCCATAATGATAATTTTCTCATACTGGGACCCTACCTGCAGATCTCCGCGCTAGATATTAAGGCAATAATCTATAGTTAATCTCTCTCATAAACTCAATATGCGTCCTATTTATCACTGCATAAATATAGATGCTAGGATTCTCGTAAGCACCACCAATAGGGGAGTACAGACCTTACATAAAACAATACTGTGAGTGTGCGATTTTTTGGTATACGTTACGAGACCTTCTCATTGTTTACTCGCACGCGAGGTGCAGTACCTTACGAAGATGCCTGTTTTATTCGTCAAAAAAACAAGAAAAGCTAGGTTACCATTCGTCCGATGGCCGGACGTCTCGGCCGGACGTCTCCCCCAACCATCCGGTAGGGGGGTTGTCCGGGATCCCGGACAACCACTTTTTGGCATTAAAAGAAAAAAAAATAAAAAAAATTGGGATGTTCTTGCGCAAGACTGGGAGATCCCCCCAAAAAAGTTTGGGGTGATTTGGGGCATTTCCGGGAAAAAAAATGTTTTTGGGGTTGGGGGGGTTGGGGGGGTGGTGTGGGGTGTATGGAAGGGGGGGGGTGATGGAGTAGGCGGATGCAGCTGGTGTTGCATGAAGTGATGCGTCCGCAACACTTGCTGCATGTCCATACACCCATATCCATACACATATGTGCAGTACAACACACACACACACACACACACACACACACACACACACACACACACACACATAGAGCGGCAATGACCTTACCCTGTGGACTAAACCAACTGACCGACTCGCAGTTTCACACACATATACACGAGATATTGACTCGATGACAGACCAACACAGTGCACGCATAGTATGAAGACAAGCTCATCAATGTCAGTCGCAGATACACGAAATTGCAACATCAACGCCCAAGTTCCTCGATCCTACAACCACCGATGACAGAACACATCCCTCAGCGCAGTAGTGAACATCTCTCTAGTCGTCCTCGTGCCCATTACCATCAGAGTTATCGTCATGTCCACTCTCGTCCTCCTCCTCCTCCATTTCCTCCATTTCCTCCATTTCCTCCATTTCCTTCATTTCCTCCATCTCCTCCATCTCCTCCTCCTCCATACCTTCCTCCATGTCCTCCATGTCCTCCATCACCTCTATCTCCTCCTCCTCTATCTTCTCATCCTCCATGCCCTCCTCTATGTCCTCCATCTCCTCCTCCTCCATTTCCTCCATCTCCGCCATCTCCTCCATCTCCTCCATCTCCTCCATCTCCTCCATCTCCTCCACCTCCTCCACCTCCAAGTCCTCCATCTCCTCCTACCACAACATACCTTGCTCCATCCCCTCCTCCTCCATATTCTCGTCCTCGTCCATGTCCTCCATGTCCTCCTCTTGCTCCATATCCTCCTCCTCCATCTCCTCCCACTCCATATCCTCCATCTCCCCCACGTCCTCGTCCATCTCCTTCATCTCCTAATCCTCCTCTATCTCGTCCACCTCCTTCATGTCTTCTTCCTCCATGTTCTCCTCCATCCACCTCCTCCATATCTCTCCTCCATCTACTCCTCCTCCGTCTCCTCCATCTACTCCTCCTCCGTCTCCTCCATCTCCTCGACGTCCTCCTCCATGTTCTCCATCTCCTCCCCCTCCATCTCGTCCTCCTCCATCTCGTCCTCCTCCATCTCGTCCTCCTCCATCTTGTCCTCCTCCATCTCGTCCTCCGTCTCCTCCTACCCACAGCACACCTTGCTCCATGTCCTCCTCCTCCATCTCCTCCTCCTCCTCCATCTCGTCCACCTCATTCACTCACCCATTCGTCTTCTTTTTCGTCTTCTTCTTCTTCTAACCTTCATCTTCTTGTTCTTCTTGTTGTTGTTCTTCTTCTTCTTCTTCTTCTTCTTCTTCTTCTTCTTCTTCTTCTTCTTCTTCTTCTTCTTGTTCTTCTTCCACCCGGTCTTCTTCCCGCCTCCTCCGCCCGCCCACCTCCACCCGCCCACCTCCGTCATCCGCCCACCTCGGCCCGCCAACCTCCACCTGCCCACCTCCCCCCCCCACCTCCCCACCCCTCCTCCGCCCGCCACCTACGCCCTCCTCCTCCGCCCTCCTCCTTCGCCATCGTCCTCGCCCGCCTCCTCCTCCGCCGCCTCCTCCTCCGCCTGCCACCTCCTCCTCCGCCCGCCACCTCCTCCGCCCACCTCTACCCGCCACGCCATCCACCCGCCTCCGCCCGCAATCGCCCGCCTACGCCACCCTGCGCCTACCTTCGCCCTCCTTCCGACCGCATCAGCCCACCTCCGCCCGCAACGTCGTCCGCCAACCTCCACCCGCCCGAGCCAACCTCCTGTAGCCTCCGCCAGCCTCCGCCTGCCTCCACCCGCAATCAATCAATCAAACTAAACAAATTCAATCAATCAATCAATCAATCAATCAATCAATCAATCAATCAATCAATCAATCAATAAATTAATCAACCAATCATTAAATGAATCTATCCATCTGTATCGACGGATCGTTTGTTTCTTCAAACTAACGATCCGTCGATACGGACGGATCAATTCTATCAATCAATCAGGCGGGTCGGGCGTGGGTGGGCGTGCACGTGTTAGGAGAGGAAGGCGGACGTGCATGTGTCAAGAGGGGAAGGCGGACGGGAAGGAAGAAGAAAAAGAAGAGGGAGTACGATATGAAGGAGAATAAGATGAAGAAGAAAAAGAAAAAGAAAAAGAAAAGGAAAAAAAAATATATAGAATAAAAAAAACGAATGAACGAAGTACTTCTAGCAATCAATCAATCAATCAATCAATCAATCAATCAATCAATCAATCAATCAATCAATCAATCTATCAATCAACCAATCAACCATTCAATCAATACGTGAATGGATCCGTCAGTTTCGACGGATCTTGAAACAAGGATCCGTCGAAACCGACGGATCCATTCACGTATTTATTGAATGGTTGATTGGTTTGTTGCTTGATTGATTGATTGATTGATTGATTGCGCTATGGCGGTTGTGAAGCCCTCGGGCCGGCGAAGTGGTGGGCGGGACGCAAGGGGGAACGTACGAGACTGGGGCACAGGCGGGCGGGACGCAGTCGGGCAAAACGGGTCGGCGAAGGGGAGGGGAGCTTGCGGGAGCCGTGGGGAGTGGGCGTAAACGTGTCAAGCGGCGATGGCGGACAGGAAAGAAGAAGGAAAAGAAGAGGAAGTAGGAGAAGAAGGAGAAGAAGATGAAGAAGAAGGAGAAAAAGAAAAGAAAAGAAGAGGGAGTAGGAAAAAAAAGACGATGAGGAATGGCGACGGAGGAGGTAGAGGAGGAGGGGGAGGAGAAGGACGAGGAGGAGGAGGAGGAGGAGGAGGAGGAGGAGGTGGCGATGGAGGTGGAGGAGGATAAGGTGATGGAGGCGGAGGATGGTTTCGACGTCGAGGACGATGAGTCGAAGATGGCGGAATAGGAGGACGGCACGACGGAGGAGGAGGAGGAGGGGGAGGAGGAGGAGGAGGAAAAGGAGACGATGTAGGGAGAGGAGGAGGACGAGGAGCAGTCGACGGAGGTGGAGTCGGAGGAGGACTTGGAGGAGGAGGACGAGGTGACGAAGAAGAAGAAGAAGAAGAAGAAGAAGAAGAAGAAGAAGAAGAAGAACAAGAACAAGAAGAAGAAGAAGAAGAAGAAGAAGAAGAAGAAGAAGAAGAGGAGGAGGAGGAGGAGGAGGAAAAGTAGACGATGGAGAAGAAGACGAGGCGACGACGACGAGGAGGACGAAGAAGAAGAAGAAGAAGAAGAAGAAGAAGAAGAAGAAGAAGAAGAGGAGTTAGAGGAGGAGGAGGAAGAGGACGAGGCGACGACGACGACGACAACGACGACGACGACGACGACGACGACGACGACGACGACGAAGAAGAAGAAGAAGAAGAAGAAGAAGAAGAAGAAGAAGAAGAAGAAGAAGAAGAAGAAG